CGCCCACGAGCAATACCGCTAGCCATGATGACCATGGGAAAATCAACTCATGGGTTTCCTTTTCTTTCCTATATGAGTATGGGCCTCCGCTTGGCGACCCTTCGGGCCGCCGGAGCTCCGCTATTACATGTATCATTACATGTCATTATGTCATGTAATAAATTAACTTATAATTCACACATGAGTTCACACCTCACAAATGTGTTGCATCGGACAGTAAATAAATTTCTGCAATTTTATCAATCAAATTAATGACAACCTACAGCACTTGATGGTTATTAATTAGGAGTATATACATGTAATACATATATATGTACATACATACATGTAATAATTAAAAAAGTTAAAAGAATGGTGAATTATCAATGTCAATTCTTAGTTTCTTGGTTGTACACACTGTATTAAGGTACAGGTAAAGTCTGCATACAAGCCAAGTGGCCCACCAGGCCAGAACTTATCCTGGTTTCTGTAGCATGAAGTGATTAGGAATATTTCTACTCCCAACTGACAAGGATGCTAGTCCATCGCAGGGTCACCCGCAGCATTAAATTCACCCGCACCCATTTATACTCCTGAGTGGAGAGAGGCACTATGAGAGTAAAGTGTCTTGCCCAAGAACACAATACAATGTCTCTGGCCAGGGCTCAAACCTGGATCACTCAACCCAGAGATGAGCGCACTAACAATGAGGCATGTACTACAATACTGTGTGTATTTGTGAACATAATGTCTTTGAAACATTTCAGCTTAAATTGCTTGATCTACTTAACTTTCTCACATATTTCAGTAAAGTAAAAATGGGCAACAAAAGTAGTTGCTCAAGACATGTTAAGAAAATGACCCTTTTCAATATTTAACCTCTTATTCTATTTTACTTAGCATTAATTCCCTGATAGCCCCAGCCCCCAATTCAATCTCATGTAGGCACTGTGCACTCTAACAAATAGAAAATCAACGTTGTTTGGGGGGAAAGGAGGGAAATGTTTCCAAGATGCTCGAAAATGAAATTTTACTGCCAAGTCTCTTGAAACACTTTTGTCCCTCATTGTACATGTAGCTTACCCCAAGTGAGGGATCATTCTTCACTGCAGTTCTTCTATTTGATATTGTACCAGCTTCTTCATCGTAATCAAAAGCATATATTGTTCTAAAACAAACAAACAGTTTTAATTAAAATCAATTTATGAAAGTGAGAATTTATAATTACAATTTTATTTTCCAGTAGGTACTACTTTTAATTATAATAAATTTGATCCTTTTATTTACAACACGACACAAAACAAAACCTACATGTCACTTTAACACAGAATAAAGTACTGATCAATGTTTGCACCTGAGAAATGAGTCAATGTAGTAAAATGTCTTTCTGTCCAAGCTCCATGTCATACCATTCGATATTGTAATCTACACATTAAACCAAAAAAAGTAAAATAAAATAAATGTACATTGTAACTTGGTACCCAAATAAATGCAGAAAAGTTGCTCTTCAGATCAAAGGATTGCAAAGCTAAATGCCACCTGACACAGACTGATGCCACAAATAAATTTAAGAGCAATGTGGAAAATAAATTAATTGGCATTAAAGTGGTATATTTGCTGTGTTTGAATTTCTGGGTCACTGTTTTACAATGTCTTACCCTGTATTGTATATTTTGGGGATCCTTAGGCATTTTTGGAGAGGTATAAAATTAATATAAATTAATCTAAGTTCCTAGTCATGAATTTCCATTAGTATAAAAAAAAATTATCTTTTTTTCGCTCTATTTTTTTTTTTTTTTTTTTTTGATAATTGTTCAGGTACCAAGGCAGTTTCATCTCTTTTTTAGTACTAACCAATATTTCTGGATTTTGGTTTGAATAGCAGGTTTTAATTAGTTTAAAGAACACGGCTTTATCACCACCTTGTCTACCCACTTTGTGAGCTTTCTGTCACCACTGAGTGAAAACTGCAAAATACAGACAAACAAAAGGTAGAAGTCAATTTTGGGTAATTCCTCACAATTTACAATGTTAGTAATGCTGAAAAGACTAACTACAAGCTATTTTTTGAGACTGGAATCTGGAATTAAAACTCTACAAACGGTTGGTATTGGATTAGTTCAATGAAATAAATTTAAAACAGCTCCCATTTCTCAGTCCCACATCCTCAGCATTCAGTTTAGTGCATTTGCAGTGAGTGGGCAACGCAAATGACAACTTACGACACAGTGACACTCATTAATTTTCATCAAACACTGTAAGAATAGCTGTTTTTTGCTAGCTTAATTAAGAGGCTAGTAGAATCATCTGAATTTTCATTTGTTACATGTATGAGTCTGTGACTACATACTAATTGGCTAACACAAAGTCCCAAGCCCTACAAAGCCTGCTTTTTTAACTTTATATTATAACATGCTTATAAACTTTACAGTGCAGCACAATAAGGCCTACACACACCAGAGATCCTTGTTCTTGCGCGGGCTTTGCTGGTTCAGGTTCATGGCCCATTGATCCGACCCACAGTCTTCCTTGCTGAGAAAAAATGTTAGCTGTACAATGTAAATTAGAGTATATTAAATTATTACAATATGTACCACAAAAGTTCCAACTTAGTAGGACAGCACAAGTGGTTCACAATCTTGGGCAATGGCAATGACTAGTTACCACTCTTGAATGGAAAGCAAGATAAGCAAGCAAGATTGACGTATAGATTTATTTTAAATTTATTATTAGTACTTTATACTAAGAGGGTACAGTTAGTCAAGAGTAACTACATGTATCAACATTTTTGCCAATAGTTGTCAAACGATTCAGTCAATACACTTACAGGATCACACTTTCCATCATTCAAATGATTTTCTGGCTTGTCTTCTACAAAATAAACACCCAATAATTAATTTACAGACTGAATTATGAACAGACGTACATGCATAGTTGGAGACAACCTAGTTACAGCTTGTATACATGCATGATACAGAATCTTTAAGAAATATACTGTGGCTATCAGTGAATACAATGTATGGACATGAATACTCAAATTTGTACAGGCCTACATGTAACATATGATTACACATTATTTTTGGCTTTTTTATTCTTTTTTTTTAAGTTAGAGATATTGTTAATAAAAAAGAAATCATTCTGGATCAATAGCAGATATATATTAAGGTAATCGTACGAATGCGAGTGTAATTAACGATTTACACTACAAGTGATATTTGAAAATTCTCTTAAAGGGGCTCAATCATGGTATTTTGAGTTATTTTGGCCACATAAAAAATTACCTTTAAATGGTAGGAAACCTGAAAATAACAGTTTAATAAGATAAAAAATTAACACCAAAGGGATAATGATAAACCATAAAGGAACAAGGATGGCTCAGGACGGAGAAGATTAACATGAATTACAAATGACGAATTTGAAAAATTGAGGCTAAATTCTTCAATATGCGCAAACCGTGACTAAGCCCCTTTAAAATTGCATGAACCTTTAGACGAGTGCAATTTGAAAGAGTTTTTAAATATCATGAGTAGTTTAAATCCTTAATAGCTTGTCATGAGCTTTCATACAATTACTCATTTATTACATGACTAAGGAAATTGTGAACGCAAACTGTGCGTTAATTTGCACTGCAGTGCAGATTAAGAACTAATGATAAACTAACGTTAAACTGTTCAACCTACCATCAACTGTGACCACTACTTCCTTCTGTCCAGTCTGTGGACAATTGCCCAAAGGGAAGTCAGTCAACACAACATACAATAATGTGTACATTGCAATGTGAACTTTACATGTAATAACAAATAAAGACAGCATTAAAATGGCTCTTAAGAACATTATTATGGTCAAGATTGATCTACACTGTACAGAGAGTTCCTACCTCGAGATCTAAAAAGATTAAACTCCTCTTGCATGCCAGAATAACAGAACCACCTTTCTTCCTTGGTATTACTGGGTAGGAATGAAACAAACATTTAGAACAGACATCCACATTTGATGTTATACATTTGACACATTAATAAAGTTATTGTTGTTATACATATACTGGAAATTGTGGGGCCCTTGAATACAGTACATGTCGTTAGCATGTTACAATCGGGATCATCAGACCAGGTTCAAGCCATGGCCAAGGGTCACTGAGCTGTGTTCTTGGACGAGAAACTACACTCACAGTGCCTCTTTCCACCCGTGCAGGTATATAAATGGGCACTGACAAATTTAATGCTGAGGGGGCGGGGGGGAGGGAAATTAACCCTGCAATGCACTAGCATCCCCTCCAGGGGGAAGTAGAAATACATTGTAATCCTAGTCACTTCATGATATGGTAACCAGGGAAACCACTTGGCTTGACACAGACTTTACCTTACCTTACATTTGATATATCAAAATTCTAATATGACACCCAGGCCTTCTACCTGACTTCTATAGTTGATTTTGTTTTCTCTGTATTGAGTTACTCGTGGGAATTACCAGACAAAGGAATCATAGAGAATTTTCAATTTTGGGGTGCAGAAGGTCCTGGAGCAATATTAGAATAATAATTATTGACAGTAATATTTCATTTTGAACATTCAGGCTATGGTATTCCAGTCAACTAAAACACATTAGTCAGCCAGCATTCCAGACAAGTGAGGGGTCACAGGTTAAAAACCCGACAAAATCAGCTTCATGACTCAACAAATTAATAGGAAATTTACAATGACTTGTTGGGTGCAGTGGGAGTTGACCAACTAGAATTCCCTTATGACATCCTAGAAGACTTATGCAGAACCCTCATCAGCACAGTAAGTGGATATTTAGCAAACACTTTAAATGAGACTTACCACATCCAACTACATCATCTAATTGATAGCTTTCATCCTAGTAAAACAAGGAATAAACATTTTGTCTGATTGTTTGTTAGTAAAGGATCATATGTCTTTGATGACACATACATGTCTTGAACATTATATTTCTGCATCATACACCTATGAATTGTGCATGTCAAAATACAACAGTACACACATATGACTATAATGATAATTTTAAAAAATAATAAACCTCAAATATAGCTATAACATCATGTGTGGTTGGCAAGAAATTTTTACACTTTGTTGTGAAGAATGGAAGGATAAAAATACGATTGTAAACAAAACAACACAAACTAATTTTGGTGCATAACACCTTTTCATTAATTTATGATTCAAGAAATTTGGAGTAGTGTAATTTTCTGGATGAGCCCAGTTTTGAGCAGTGAAAAAGGCCAGTTTTCAAATAAAAGCACAACATATAAGACTACATGATTATACTATGATCTGATAGTTTTTAATTGAATTATCTATGAATGGAATAGACTGCCAAGTCAACTTAGGGATGACGATGATCCATTTTTTTATTAAAAAAAAAAAAAGGTCAGTCACGGGTATTGTTAGAGTAATTTGAGTTTGTTTGTTTTTGTGGTTAATCAAGATTAATATTATTGTATATCCAACCGTATTCACAAAACCACGCCTACAGACAGCTCAAAGACAGTCCCCATGGCCACAAGTGCTCTAGCCAATCTCTTAGCTCCCCCTGGCTAAGAGATTGACCGGTCACACATGCATGTGTCAACACAGAACCCTAAAATAATGTTCAACAACTGAGAAAAGTGCCCAGCAACACAGTCAATATCAAGGTTATTTGGCACTGAAAACTAAAAGTCTAGCTAAGTGAGCGTGTCAGCAAAAGACAAACCACCAGCAGATACCTGTAGGCTGGTGTCTGGGCCCTCCAAGGTTCAGAGAGGCTGCACCCGAACCAATGAAAAACCTAGCGAGCATGTTTTTGCAAAATCGCTCAGATAAATGTATATACAGTTTACCATTAGTTTTATTCCCGAGGGTTTCCCTAGTATGACCAGTGCCGCGGTGCTTCTGATCACCGGCCACCATCTCATGTTTCTGTAATTTAAATCACTATTTTTTTTGTAAGTAATATGGAGTAACTGTAGCAAATAAAATAACTAAAAAAATCGAATTCCAACAGAACATTCCTAACTCCCACCATGTTTGTCTTGAAGGGGAGGGTTTAGAGCTGGCCGGACTAAAGAATGCACGAAAACTAAGACAACTCAAAATAATGGAACTAAAATTCAATAATTTTGACGCTGTCTTTAGTTCTCAAGCACCACACCGATTTTGTTACAGCTTATCCTACAAGTATTCCTACCAGTGCAGTCCAATAGAACACATACAAAGACTTAACACAAGTTATACATGTACAACTGCGCAGCCTATACCGCCGCTGCTCGGCGAAATATAAGCTCAACACTGCCCAACATTTGCTCAAGAGGTGACAGGATCGACTAATTGCACATAATTTTACTGTACCTTTCCTGTTTCTACATCCAAAACATGAACACGGCTGTCAAGGCAATCGACCCAAAATAACCTCTGCGTTTTTGTGTCCCAGTGTGGCCCTTCTCCAAGCTTAGCGCGTAAATTTTCACCCACAACAGAAATCTCTACCTCCGCCATTTTTTCTACCGACCCGTCTGTTCCTACTTAGCCGGCGGGGTCTTGGCACGAGGGAAAGGAAGGGCTGTTGCAACATGATTGATTGGCTAGTTCTTCGGGTGCCAGATTCCGGAAATTTCGGTCGGAATTCCGACAGGAATATTCCGACCGAAATTTGCCGTTCTATTTTGACAAACTGCCCTACTTCTCTTCACTTATGTAGGGAATTCGGAAAAGGATTAAAACATGATAAGAGCCATTCCTCTTGGTTGGTCCGGTTTGATCAGAAAATGTAGTTCCATTTTCCTCGGTTATTCCCACTGGTCTCTGACCGGTCGTAGGTGGCTGGTGTTCCCTACAATCGTTCGCTTAGAGTACCTACAGACCTTCAGGAAGTTTGGAACTGGTTCACGGGGAGATCTTCTCCTTCGCAGCCATCCCTTGGGGACATCAAACGATGCTCTCTTCCAATTGGCAGTGTTGCGTGACAACCCCAGTAATACCCCTATACCCCTAATTACACCTTATACTCCTAATACCCTAATAACCCTAATTACCCCTAATTACCCCTAATTCCCTTATTACCCCTAATACCCCTAATTACCCCTAATACAACTAATACCCCTAATACCCCTAATTACCCCTAATTACCCCTAATACCCCTGATACCCCTTATACCCCCAATACTCCTAATAACTCTGATTACCCCTAATACGGTACCCCAGACAACAACTGCGAAGGAGACAAA